AGCTCCTCTAACAAGGAGAGGAGCAGCAAAACAAAATTACCTGCAACGTCTCTGCCTACAGCGATTGTTCAGCAGGTCTTTCTGACGCTAGTTTTTTGTGGCCCGACACCCCCCGTGGGGGCACACGGCGACTCTCGGGAAAGCTGCCTCCTACTGTTTATCCACCTGCCACATGCCTCCTCTGACCTTCACGTGCCACCAAGTTTGGGTGCTTTAAAACGCTGGGCGATATACCCACTCGACGCCGAGGGATTACAGATGATGTGGAAATGGAAGTTACATTCTGTTATTTTTAATGGAAAAGCTTCTAAGAATCTAATCAGAACAATCCGAGTAGAATAACTTTGCTGGCCGACTCTGTGCTCTGGGTAACAGGACGGCCTAATGGAGCAGAAAAGAAAATGGTTCTAAATGTTCTGTACCGGGGGGGAGGGGTGCTGGGGGCTCAGTATTAATTCTTCACATTGCTTCCACACCTTCAGCCCTGCACCCACACTCCTTCCTCCCACACTTGAACGTGTTTGATGTCTACACATATATATTTTTCCAGCTCCTAATCCATTTAGACCCTTCCACTGCTTATTCTGGCGGGTTTTTCTGTATTCTGTGGGGCTACGTGGCTTGTCTCTACCGCTAATCCCCCTGATAAAATGTAAGGGAGCCCGGGAAGGAGAGTGGTGATTGCCTCTCCACAGTGTTGGCGGCTGAGCAAGAGAGCCAGCGCCTGTCGAAAAGCAGGCATGAGGGGGCGGGGGCAGGGAAACAAAACAAAACAACAGCAGCCCAGAGCTGCCTTGGCAGAGCCACGCTGCCTTCATCAACAGGAACCACTAGACTCCACTCCAAGGGAGGGGAGCATATGATTTTTCTAGATGTCAAAAAACAACCCAGGGGCTGGAGTGATAGCACAGCGGGCAGGGTGTTTGCCTTATACACGGCCCGACCCAGGTTCGATTCCCAGCATCCCATATGGTCCCCCGAGCACGGCCAGGAGTAATTCCTGAGTGCATGAACCAGAAGTAACGCCTGTGCATTGCTAAAAACAAACAAACAAACAAACAAACAAACCCAACCCAGACAGTTTGCTTTACCAACTCAATGATTTGGAAGATCGTGCACCTCGAAATTATGCCAGGGGCAACAGCATATTCTGGAATGTTCTGGAATGTTCTGGGCTTGACTGCCATTCATGGCTCCTTACAGAGAAGCCTGGTCTTCCCACAGAGTCCGGGCAGCCTCCCGCACGTCATGATTTCCCAGGGAGCCCCGCAGGGTGCAGGATCCTGAGGAAATCGCACAGCACTTTCTGAGGCCCCCGTTTCCCTCAGTCAGGACACCAAGAAACGGGCAAGGAAGCACAGGCGGCTTTGACCTGGAGACAGGGTCAGCGCCTGGTCACCGACTCCCTGTGCCGTCTCTGGGACACACATGCGAGTTCCATGGGGGCGATTCCACGCTCACGCCTGCCCCTGCCACTTCGGATCACAGAGGCTTCACGGCCTCCGAGGTGCCCGGCCTGTTCTCGGGAGCCAGGCCTGGGGTGTGATGGGAAGAGGCGCACCTGGGAATTGGCAAGAGGTCGCCACAAATTGAAGGAAAGGGTCGTCCACCCCCTTGCTTCCGCAGCTTCTTTTTCAACTTCTCCTGTGAGAAGTGCCTGCTGGAGGCCCGTGGCCCTGCCTGCGAGGCACCTGGAGGAGGCTGTCACCTGAGGGCACACTGCTGGGGGAGCTGGAGGGACCCGCCCGTGGGGAGAAGGCCCCTGTCACAGGCTGTCTCTGAGGAGGCCCCATAGGAAGCCCTCGCTGTAGGCAGAATCTTTATGAAAGGGTTTCTTCTCCGAATTTCCCAAACAGGCCTCTTTGTTATGGCCCACCCGTCGGGGAACCCAATCCCCCTTATCATTTCCAGACTCTTTCAGCCTGCTGTGCACCCCAGGGCGGGCGGGCCAGGCCTCGTCTCTCTCGGGCTTCTCTCAAGCCACCCCTGGGCCGAGTCTGACGGCCGTGTGCGTGGTCGGCTTCATGCACTGCCGGGAAGCCCCCCTCGGATTCCGCAAGAAAATTAAACTCCTTGGAATCCAAAACTAATAACTGGTCGCGGGCCGGCCCCAGGGGGGTTTGGTTATCCTGATCTTTCGGTCTCAGCTAACCAATAAGAGGGCCGGCTGGCACACTCCCAGGATGAAGGCTCTCCGCTGAGCGCGGGATTAGAGGAAGCCAAGAGATTTTTCGGCCATCTACACGCTCAACTTACACCCCACCTGGGTTCTGAGGCAGAGATCTGGTGACGGTCGGGGCCCTGCAAGGCAATTAAAAGAAATAAAGCAAAGTATTATATTTTAATTGATGTAATCTTCAAGCTCCCAGTGGAATCGGAGGCGATATCTGACTAGAGTTACCCTGACTAGGTACCCACAGATGGCTACTCTGGGAAAGCGCCCTTAGGAAGACAAAACCTCATGAATCCTGGTCTTCATTAACATGTGTATCCGTTTGGGGGGAGTGGGGGCACTGGCTCAGGCTCCCAGCTCCAAGTTGAAAGAGGTGCCTAGACTTCCCTGAGCGCTGAACAAAGGGAGGGATGGGGTGGGGGGCGGAGGGGGCTGGGGAGCTGGGGTGGTGGGGAAGGCACGGGGTGGGTGGAGGGACAGCGCCTTTTTCACACACCCAACCATGCTTCCCAAACCCAAACAGTTTCCCCCCATCACCAAGATTTCAGGGTTTGTTTTTGTTTTATTGTAAATATTCCAGTCAAAGAAAGATTAAACAGACAAGGGGGAGGAAAAAAAAAACACCCAACTGCTTTATACAGGATACAGAATCAGATAGAAAATACAGAATGGAAATGAAAGGCGACCAGCGACAGATAAAAAAGTGGAGACAAACCCAGGATGAGAACTAGCTGGTGGCAGACTCGCTCACAGCCCAAGTGGGTCACGGCCAACAGAAGCGGTCTCACGCCGTCAATCTCATCGTCATTCCACGCGGTGAAAGGCTTTGCACATGATTCATGGGGACATTTATTTCACGAACCCATTAAAAAAAGTTCACTATTAATCAAGATATCCTGCTCATGTCTTTTTTTTTTTTCCTTAAGAAAAAAACACCTCTCCCTCCTCCAAATGGGATGTGGCAGCAGGACCCAGACAGCCGTGGCTGGGACAGAGCGGTAGGCTGGAGTTGTCACACCTTTAGGGCCCGTGGCCAACTGACCTCCTGGCGCCCTTGGGACTCGAGGTAAGTTTAAGAAGAAAACTCACAAAGTCCGCTGAGCTTGCTGTCACTTAAGGTTTAGGAGGGATGGGGTTCAGCATCGTGAGTGAGAAGATGGGGGCTAGGACTGGAAGCCAGCCTTCCTGGGGGCTGGTCGGGACACACAATACCAGCTGAGAGAGGGGTACCTCTCTACCCGCGCGGCAGAACCACGGGACCTGTTCGTCCGTAAGATGTCTGTATTGTAGCACATTCAGTGCAGAAACGGTGTGAGGGCAGCTCAGTTCACAGTGGTAGTGAGGAGATGAGGGAGGAGGAAGAGGAGGAGAGGAGGGGGAGAGGAGGAGGGGGAGGAGGAGGAGGAGGGGGAGAGGAGGAGGAGGGGGAGAGGAGGAGGAGGGGGAGAGGAGGGGACAGTGGCTGTTTCTTTCTCTCCCCCTCTGCATAAATACTCTAAGCCTACAAGCAGACATTGCATAGAATTTGTTCCCATCAGAAAGTGACAACTCCCGGTGAGACTCCCAGGAGGCAGAGTCAAGGCAATTCAAGCTGCTGTTGGGGAAGTACACAGTCCCGTGTCCGGTGCCAACCCCCCCCAAGAGGACAGCTTAGGGTCCTGCGACACCCCTCCAAGTAGAGGGGTAACCAGCAGCCCGACCCCCTGACAGCCAGGAAGCAGCAGAAACCAACTCTGCAGATGAAAGTCAAGAAAGTCGACACTTCAACTGCCCAGCTTAGGCTGGGCTCAAGGATTCCTGAGCACAGGCGCAGGTGTTCGCTCTGAGACTGCCCGGCCCCTCCTGGGCACCCAGCAAACTCTTGTGATGACTAATGCACACACACACACACACACACACACACACACACCCATGCACACATATGCATGCACACGCATGTACTTACACACTCATACTTGCTCTCAGTCTCAAGGCAAGAACTCACCTAATCCGAGAGTGGAGGCAGGTTTGGCCTCACAGGCAGGTGTGGGTGTTAAGAGACGCCGCTGGCACAGGGGCATCATGCCCACAGGGTGGCCCCCTCTTCCTCTGCTGGGAAGAACAGGCCGCCCCTCTGCCGATGAACAAAGTCCTCCCCCCACTCCTCCATCCAGCTCTGAGCTGCCTTCCGCTCTCACCCACCCACCATCAAACCCACCCCTGCCAGGGAAAGCCACGGTGGAAAGGCAGGACAGGACACATCCCGGCCCACACCCCCGCCTCTCAGTGTCTCAGAGGCTTCGTCTGACACCCACTTCCCAAGGCCTCTCTGCCACACACCAGGGGGGGTTCAGCACCAGAAATGGAATGCACCCGAAACCCCTCTCCCCAAATTCAGGACCAAGGATCAGGCGCCCATGAGATGGTTTCCACTCCCAACTCCAGCCTCCCCCTCCAAGACCCAGCACACAGGAGCAGGACGGAAAAGAAACCAAAGGGAAAAGGCGGGGAGGAGAGGGAGAGAGACAGGGGGACACGAAGAAGCCTGAAACAGAAGTGTACAAATGCAGAAAAGAAAAGCCTTCCCTGTGGAGTTTAATGTTTCCGGTGACGGGCCAGACGTGGGGTACAGGGACCCTTCCAGGGGATCCCGCTGTCCTGGCGAACCCTCCTGGGCAGGGACCCCCCATACACACACATACTTCTTTGGGCCAAAGGGAAAGACCCACGGGGAGAGGCTGGTCCGTGTGGCCCCCCGGGAGCGTGTCCGTTGGTCCTGAGGACACCCCGGCCGGGCACCGTGTCTGCCGGGCTCCGGGCTCCGAGCCGTGTGCCGCGTGGAGCCGAGTCTGGCGCCGCCGTCTCGGTCTCGCTGCCGTCCCGCGGGCTACTCGGGCTCGCTGCTGTTGGTGGTCTTGTCCCACTCCAGGCTCTCCTCGCTGCGGGCGGGCGAGGGCCGGGCGCGCAGGCCCTGGAAGCGCCGACACTCAGGGCACACGCGGATGTGGGTGCAGCCGCGGGCCACCAGCGCGGCCTCCTGCGCCAGCCTCTGTGCCAGCTGCTCGGGCTCCCCCGCACCGCACAGTCTGCCGTTGCTGAGCGTGGCTGTGCCCCGTGGCCGGCGCTCCTCGGGGCCGGGGGGCCGGGGCGGGGGGCCGCTGGTGGTGCGGCGGCGGCGCGGGTGCGCAGTGTCCTGACACAGGATGATGCTGCGGAGCTCAGTCACCATCTCTTGGCACACGGACACCTGCAGGGAAGGACGGGGTGGTGGGGTGTCACCGGCCATACCTGGCAGAAGCAGCGCCCTGGGACTTCCTTTCCTGCTCTGGCCTCCCCCTCCAACAGCCAGGTGCCACACACCTGTCTACACCGCAGTCGTCTACACCGTGGCCAGTGTGCAGGGCAACAACACGGGCCACAGGGCTCCAAAGGGAAGCGTTCAGGGGGCTCCAGGAGCGAGGGCTGGAGGCAGGGGGCCAGAGCGCTTACAAACTCAAACACAGAGTGAGCAGCCTTCTCGGGCACGGAGGGAAGAGAGGGCAGACGCCTCCCGCTTCTCCGGCTCTTCACCCTCACGCCATTTCTAAGGGCCCCTGGGTCCCAGCCACCAGTGCGGGGCTGAGCTCCCGCAGGTCCTGGGCAGTGTGGCGCTCCCAAGGCTCGGGGTGTTGGAAAGTGGAGGCCCATCACCGCTCCCATCGGGAAGGAGGGCATTTTCGTCACTTTCTCTCTGCTGGGCCTACATCCTTCCACGGCGGGAGGCTCGGCTGCTTCTGAATCAGGTGTCACACATTTGCCGGGCTGTTTGTTTCCAAGATCGGGGGCGCTGAGGGAGGGTCTGTGTCTCTTCTGTGGCCGTGTGACCGAGTACGGGTGCTTTTGCCCCACCCCTGGCGTGGGACTTATGATTCTCTCCACTGGGCTGATGGGGGGGGGGAGGCGGAGGGGGGCGCCCACCTCCCACTGCAGGGCTTTGTCTGAACGGCAGCATGCCCCGGGGCCCACCCCTCAACCCCTGCCAGCCAGCCCCCTCTGAGTTACCTCTGTGGCTTCTGAGTGTCGGAGAGTCCACAGGAACTCCAGCATCGCCATAAGAATGGCCACGATTAGGCCACAAATAAGAACCACGAAGATTCCACCAATATTCTCCATTCCCAGTCCTGTGAGGAAAGCCGTGGCAAACAGACAAATCGCTTAGAGAACTGAAAGCTACCAATACCCTACCCGAGATACTCTCAGTTAGACAACCAGAACTTAAGTCTGAGAGGCTCAACTGTTCTTCTGGGGGGAAAGAACAAGCATAGGTCAGAGTTAAAGGGGTACTTATGGTTTCAAAAGGAGGGGACCCCAAAGGGATGTCTGGGGTGGGGGAATCATCTTTTTTTTTTTTGCTTTTGGGGTCACTCCTGGTGATACACATGGGTTACTCCTGGCTCTTGCTCAGAATCGAACCCGGAATGGCCGTGTGCAAGGCAAACGCCCTACCCACTGTACTATCACTCCAGACCTGAGAATCATCTTAAGGGTCAGGCAAAACCTGCCTCAGCCTCTGGCTATGCAATGCCTAAACACTCGTGCATTTGAGAAGCTTCCTAAAGAGTCTGGCCCATCGCCCTAGTGGGTTTGTTTCATGTTTATTTATTTTATTTATTTATTCTTTTAAATGGGCTGGAGCGATAGCACAGCGGTAGGGCGTTTGCCTTGCACGCGGCCGGCCCGGCCGACCCAAGTTCAATTCCTCCGCCCCTCTCAGAGAGCCCACCAAGCTACCGAGAGTATCTTGCCTGCACAGCAAAGCCTGGCAAGCTACTCATTGTGTATTCGATATGCCAAACACAGCAACAACAAGTCTCACAATGGAGACGTTACTGGGCCCGCTTGAGCAAATCGATGAATAACGGGAGGACAGTGACAGTGTTTTTATTCTTTTAAATAAGCGCTTATTTTTTTCCATTCCAAAAATTTTCCTTTAAAAATGCTGCCTTCAAACTCTGCATGTACCCACCACACCTGCCCCGTGATTTCCTCTCACTAAGGAAAGCGTGCTTGATCTGTCCTGGACACACCAGCCTGCCTGGGCCCATCACAGACCCTGCTTGACTTGACCCTGTGTCTCAGGTGCCTCTTATGAACCTTCAGTCTCACAGCATAGGCACACACACACACACACACACACACACACACACACACACCATGCAGGTTTTGGTGTGTCCCTAACCTTTTTGGTATAAAGTAAACAATTACACTGCCAGGGGTTGAGACGGTATAGTAATGCTGGCGGCTGTACTGGTGGTGAGTCTACGGTGGTGTGCCAACTGCTGGGTCATTCTGAATGCCTCTAGACGGCATTTGGGACGAGCTAAAGCACTTATTTAACCAAGCCACGGCTAGAAAAATGGCTTACCTCTCTGTTCCCACACATCTCTAAAATGCTAATTTGGAAGGTGATGTTTTTCAGGGGACTCCAGTGCTAACAGTCAGAGAAGCTCCCAAGTGATGCTCAGGGCTCCTGAGGGCCACACCCAGTGGTACTGGATGACAGGCCAGATGGCTCAATACCAGGGCCCCTCTGTACGGCTCTCTCTGAATTCAGAGGTGCTGGGGGCTACCAGGGTAGTTCCCAGTGGTGCCCAGAGGGTCTCTCTGGTGCCAGAGACTGAACTCAAACTTGTGGTTTCCAGGCCTAGCTGCCATTCAAATCATCTGGGGAGCTGGTTAGAGAGAGATTCTAAGCGCCTCCCCCAGACCCCTGGCATCATCATCTCTGGAGACAGGGGCCCGAGAGTCTGCATTTTAGAACATGTTTCCCAGCCAGGACTACGGTCTGCATGCAGGCCCCTCGGAGGCAGGGCCCAAGAGCACTAAGCTCTATCCATCCTGTGTCACAGCCGCCCTTGGCCACATGCACATGGTTTGTAGATCACGGGGTTGGCCACACACTTGTAGTTTGCGGTTCACTGGGTGTTTTCATTCCCACGACCTTGGACCCGGAGTTGAGGTTTGTGACACAAACAGCAGTTTTTGGGTCAAGACCCCTCAGTGTTAGAGGAACATCACCCACACAGAGAACTCTGATTGAACGGAGGGTCACAGTTATGAGAGAAAAATATCCGCCTTTATCCAGGAGAACGTCAAGACGGCAGCCCGCGCCCTGAGCTCCTCCAGAATGGTGTGTGGGCATGGAAGCTCCATTGGGGGGGTCCCGGGGGCTGGGGCTGCATCTCCCCAGGAGAGCTCATGTCTCACCGGCCAGGAAGCTGAGCCAGGGACAGGAGCAGAAAACCTCAGCGTGGTGGAGACATGGGGCTCCCTACCCAAGGCTCCAGCGGGTGCTGGTTTCTGTTGGGTTGTTAGAGTTCTTGGCCAGTGCTCATTTCCCAGTGCTCATCGGCCTCGGAGGCTCTGAGGATCCCCACTTGACACGAACTCAGACGCTGTGGATTCTGGCCTGCAGCCTACACAGCGCCCCCAGCAGTGCTGTGAAAAGGGGAGCGTCTGTTCCGGATGACACAAGAACCCGAGCACGGCTGAGACTCGCGGGGAGAGTCTGCCTCCGAGCCTGCGTCGCACACCTGCCCTCACCTGCCGGCTTCAGGCCAGGTGAACGAGAGCGGGGGAGGCCCAAGGGATGCTGAAGAGAGGGAACCCGTGTTTCTGGTCGGGGTTCAGCCTCTGATTTAGGTGTGGGGAGAACTGGGGCGTAGGCCTGGGGAAGCAGCTGCTTCCTACGCACGCCTGGTGCGGAGAGGGTGGCCGGAGAGTCCAGGGGGGGGCAAGGGACAGGGGACAGAGCCGGGAGGTCATCACTGCCAGGCCCTGGCTGTCTCCAGGTGAGGAACATTGTATGGGGGTCAATCACTCGGCCAGCAGAGAAGGAAGGAGCAGGACTCCCCATCTGCCACCAGGCCGGGCCTCTCCCCCTCACACCCTCCCTCCTTCCATATCCCCTCCGGCCGCCCCAGCCCCTGTCCCCCTCCCCCCTTGGCTACTTGAGCACTTTTCTCTTCCTCCAGACCAGACTGGGGAAACACTCCACAGCCCTTAGGACATTGACGTTCCAAGGCCCCAAATCCTACTTGAGAAAGCAACGAGGAGAAAGTGCACCCACCCACGTCTTGTGTAAAATGTCTGGATGGAAACACTTTTTTTCTTCTTTTTTGCCTCCCAGGTGAAGGAGTGGAAAGAAACAGTTAATTTCTCTCTGCCTGTGATTTCTCAACCATCATGGTGCATACAAGGGAATGTTTGTAAAACCCGGGGAAAAAAAATAATAAAAGGACTGCATCCCCAAATTTGTTTCTAAATGGAATGAAGCTTTTATGAATATTAAATTTAAAAATTAATGAAGTTGAAACACTGTTACATTTTGGAGATATTTAATTAAACATGTCTTAATTTAATTTTGCAGTTTTCTCTTGGCGTTTGGTGCTAATAATTTTTTTTTTTCAGGTCGCACACGCAGCTGCAGATGTGAGAAGCCCTCGGTAGCCTGCGGCAACGAAAGCCGGGCCGACCCGATCTGAACCCCCCTTTCCTCCTGTCCTCAGCTCCTTAGTCCTGGAACTCAGGTGCTCTGTCCTGTGCTGCCAGAACCACCCTCCGTCCCTCAGGTGGCCAATCAGTGTGGGATGCTGAGGCACGGGAATGCTCACTTCCAGATCTGAGAGAACCTTCTGGAACAGTCGACCCTGTCACCCGCACCCCTGCCTGCCACCTGGACTCTCCGTAAAGCCCCATCCCTGTCCCCTTCCCCCTTCCAACTGCTCAGCCGGGCCTGGCGCCGTCTCACCTCTCTGGCTCACCCCCAGCCTGTCTCCCTGTCCCTGCAGATGCCCAGGGCCTGCGGACCCCCCCAAACACCTACCCACTCCTCGCCTTCCTCTCCCTGCTATCCCCCCTCCCCAGTCCAGGCCCCTCCAGAGAGTTTCCTGGCCTGCAGCTGCGTCCCCTTCCATGCAGCCCTCCGGTGAGCTGGTGGAGTCCTTGGACAGCGTGACAGCCCTGCCCAGGGCTCTGGCCCGGACACACAGGCAGGAGGCCCAGGGAGGGCCTGATCAGACTCGGATCATAAGCGGCATCAGCAGACACACCGTCAGTGGAGGGGTCGTGACCCCTGGCAGAATGGCTGCGCTGGAGTCACTGCCTCGATGGGCCGGGGGTTGGGGGGGGGTCTCTGGGAGGAGCTGAGGCTGTCACAGCAGCGGGAGGAACCCGAGTCACAGGGGGGTGCCCGCCCAAGGGGGCTCTCCCCAGGAGCCAGGCTTGCACACCCCTCATGCTGTCAGGAACCACCTGGAAAGTGGGAGCCGGCAGAGTCCGGGCAGGGGCAGATGGTGTGGGGAGCAGCTCAGCAGGCAACAGGAACACCGTCACCCATCTCTCCTCCCTGTCAGGCGCACATCACCCCCCTACCTGCCTGCACCCCAGAGGCCGCAGCACCTACGAGGCGGAGCCCCGGGCTGCTGCCCTCCCACTCCTCTCCCCTGGTCCCAGCAGGGGCCACCTGTCCACACGGAGGATTTCCAAAGGGATGTTGCGTGTTTTGAGTCACCCCTGGCTGAGCTCGGAGATTGCTCCTGGCGGTGCTCAGGGGACCAGATGTGGTGCTGGGGTTCGAACCCGGTCGGCCACGGGCCAAGGAAGAGCCCTCCCTGCTGCACTGTCTCTCTGCTCCCCACCTTGAGTCTCAGAGCCTCAGCTATGCCCATGTGAGAAGGCCAGACCCCCGGGAGGGAGGCCAGCCTCTCCGCAGCTGGGTCAGGGACTGTGCCGCCGCAGGGGGTAACTCTCATCTCCACAAATGCCATTGGGGGTCTTTCGGCTCCTGATCCCTAAAGCCCAAGGGCGTCCTGGAAGAAAGAATCTCTGGGCAGATGCAAGGCTCCACCCTCCCACCCTGCTGCTCGGCCCACAGTGCTCACCACAAACAGACCCTCCCTGCCTGCAGAGATGTCTCGTCTCGGGTCCAAAACCTGCACGCCAACTGTCAGGTTCTGAGTGCCTGTGGAGCCTGGGAAACAGGGACAGTGGCCACAAGGACCACTGACAGTGAGAAGAGGCCAGGCAGGGGCGACTGTTCTATGAGGGACGCACTCTGCTGACAGTGCTGGCCAGCAGGCCTTTCCAGGGCCCCCACGGGGCATAACACAGAAGCCAAGCTCCATACCCACCAGCTCCGAGGACCGACCCACAGGACACACAACCCTTGCTCCACCAGAGTGTCACCGGCCACGGGGCATCTCTGCAAAGGCGACAGAGTCCTCCTGAAGTCGCCTTATCGGTCTCCTCTGCAGGGCGGGCACCCAGGAAGCCGGGTATCTGCTGCCCCATCTGCATGGCCGGGGACATCTGTCACAGGCACCCCGCGGACCCTGCAGATGGTGGTGGTGGCGGCTGAGCTGGGAAAGAGGCACCAGGACACAGAAGAGGGACGGGAGAGGCTAACGCTTGTGACTGGCCAGAGCGTGGGCCGCTGCCCCACATCTCAAAACACAAGCCCCGTCCCAGAAAGATCCCCCAGCGTCACTCAGTTAAGAAGCCGGAGTAATGTCTAACATCTGCAGGAGCTGAAGCCCAGATGGATGGTCGAGGAAACGGAAGCTTGGACACCTCCAGGAAGACCTCTACTCCCCGGTCAGCCTCCCACTCCCCAGGGGCTGCCTCGGGGTCCCGAGCCTCCATCCATGCAGCCACCACACCGAGCTTTTCTGTGAGACTGACTCGAAGCCTCCTGCCCATTTCCCGCCCAGAATCCAACATGCCTGGGGCAGGTCCCTTCTCTGGGGTGGGGGTGGGGCAGTGCTGACCAGCAAGGGGACGTGAATGGGTCCAGACTGAGTATGGACACTGCATCCTCACCTCCATCCCACAATGGTGCTCTGCAAACACGCTAGAGGGCCCGAGTCTCTTCCTGGAACTCCCTCCCCAGGCCTGAGTGATGGGGGCGGCATGGGGGGGGGGGGTTTGGGGGGAGAATCCCGATGGCCTGACTGTGCCTTCAACATGTAAAACCCCCTTCTCTCCTCGAACGCGTGTCGGCAGATGCTGCTAGCGATGATTTACTGGCTCCGGCTTGGCTCCAGGTCCAGCCTACTGCCCTGTCCCTGAATGGAGGCCCCTGGCCAGGTCTCCCTCACCTCTGCTCCCAACAATCAATCTGATTGGACGGGGGAGACAGACGTCCCATTGGAAGCATCTCTCCCTGGTGGCCTCTCGACACCCACATTCAGGTGTCCAGCCTGGCCTCTCCCCAGAGAGTCGGGAACCTCTTCTGGGACCACCTCCAGGGGAAGGAAGGGGAGACTTAGGTCCGAGAACCCCTCCCCTCGGCACCCCACGTGTCTCACACTTCCGGTCTCATGGAGCCTGACGGCCAACTTCCCGTGGCTAAGGATTTTCACAGTCCGGGCCATAGGGCTCTCTTCCACCCCCGAAGGGAAGCCTGGGTTTCACAGCCCGGCGGGTGTGTTTCTGTGCCTCTGAAGCCCAGTGTTGATTGAGCTTGTGCTTCTCCAGATAAATGGATTCGATTACCCTGGAATCCACCGACCACCCTCGGTCTAGCAACTGTTCTGCAGAGCCCACGGCCATGCAACTCCCCAGACAGGGTTGCATCTGTGAGGGGTTAGCGAGATTTCTTTTTTATGGGAGTGAGCACATAAATAAAACCAGGGTCTCGGGAAGGAAAAAGTTGAAGGAAACAGCTCGGAAGGAAGCCTGTCACCTTTTGAGAGATTCCCCAGCTGGCCACCATCTCCATCCTGAGCTGTGGATGGAGCCGGGTGGTCCCAGAGCCCAGAGGCCGGGAGAGAAACCGGCAGAGGAGCAGCCACAGGGCGACACAGTGGCACTTAGGCAACGCGCCTGAACCGGGTCAGGACCCCCCTTGGAATCTGGCCCGAGAGCTGGGCTGGGCTAATGGAGCGGACGCCCCACAGAACCCGCCCCTCTCCTCAGAGCTGTTTTGAACAGAGGGGAACGGGATTGTGTTGGACGCTACAGTTTGAGTGGCCTCTTCTGGATGCAGCCACAGTCCTAGTGGCTCTGGGTTCCGGAAGTCCTCAAAAAATAAAAGTAGAAGCATACCCTTGCCCTGCCCCTCAGAGGCCTCCCCGGGTCCCTGCCCTTTCCTGCAGGCACACCGGGAGTCGGCAGCTCTACGCCAGGGACAACGATCACTGGCAGCTGTGCCAGAAAAGCAGCCTGAGATGACGGCCTCGCGTCTGACAGGAGACTTCGGGCGTCTGATGGCGAATGTGTGGGACAGAGACCCCGCCGCGACCCCTCCTCCCCAGCCAGGGGTTCCTGCCTTGGCCTGGAGCTCGTCACATGGCCCCCTGCATGGGCCACTGCATTGGCCGGGCGCTGCCAGCTGTGGCAAGGACAGTGGGTGTTCCAGGCAGCCCTACAGTGGCAGCTTGCGGACAGCTCAGAAGCACAGTCTTCTCCTCCCCAGCTGGCTCCCGGCACTGACCTCTGCCCCTCCAAGACAACGCAGAGAGCATGGTCACCCTCAGAAACGCAGAGAAGGCCCTTGGGAAGCCGCAGCTGGTAAGTGGAGTCCTTGCTCCTCCAAGGCCAACACTGTCCCCGGAACGGCCAAGACCCCTCGAACCTCCTGCCCCAGCACCCGCGCCCAGCCTGCCGGGGCTCACCCTCCTATGGCCGGGCCTCCCCGGGATCCAGACACAGCTGGCACTGAGCCAAGGTCGGGGGTGCCGCTTCGCACCTGCGACAACACAGCCGGCTCAGGTCGTGGGGCGCAAGCAGGAGTGCGAGGTGCGAGCATGAGGAACGGAGGGACCTTGGGGGGCTTCCGCGTAGGGGCCTGTTCCCCGGGCCCGGCTGGCCAGCAAGACCCTCGGTTCCAGCCTCCCCAGCAGGGCCCAGGACACCCCAGGGCACTGCCCCTCATGACTCTCGTGGCCCCATCTCCACGGTCCCACAGCCCCACCATGGGGCACCCGACACCCGGAGATGGCGCATGGCAGGGGCGGGGCTTGGAGAACAGGGAGCCATGAGGGTGGCCTGTGTGCCCGCTGCCTGGGCACGCTGCTGTCCCCTCCCATCACAAACCAGGACGACCAACAGGGCCAGCGAACGTGCCCCGGCTCAGGGCAGCACAGACTGGTATCACCTGATACCTGACATGGGTAGATATCACATGGCACTTCACTGCACTGGCAGGCGGGCATCGTATGACACAGGTTAGCACCTACTGGCACCACGTGGCACAGGTTTGGCAAAGACTGGCATCACCTGGCAGGATGGTACTGTCTGGCAGGGTCAGCACTGACTGGTACAGGCTGGCCAAGTGGCATTATCAGGTACAGACTGGCACACCTGGCACTGATGGGCACCATCTGGAACAGACGGCAATACTAGTACTGCATGGCAGCCCCTGACTCAGGTGGCACAGATTGGGACTGCCTGGTACAGACTGGCAATACTGGCATGGCACCACCTGTACAGGGTGGCATGTGCCCAGCAGGTTGCATGCAGGGAGCAGGGGATACGACAAGGCTTCTCTGGGCAGGGGACGGGCGTGGGTAGCTGGGCCCAAGATAGAGTGGAGGTCAGGCCTCCGGGGGCCGTGGGACACAACATGCTAAGGCCCAGGGGATGCCGTACCCCAGCATCCAGTTGTATCCCCTACTCCCTCGGGGCTTGTTATTGATATGTCTTCAATGCCGGGAGTGGACAGTGTGTGTGTGTGTGAGTGTGTGTGCAGTGCATGTGTATGAGTGACTATGTGTGCATATGTAGGAGTGTTAGGTGCACATGAGTGCGTGAGGGTGCATGCGTGTGCACGTGAGTGTGAGTACATATGCATAGGAATGTGTGTGCACATGAGTGTATGAGTGTGAATGTGTGAATGAATGTCTGTGTTCATGTGCGTATGTGTCCCACATATGTACACGGGTGTATGTGTGTGCAGGTGTGAGTGCCTGTGCATGAGTATGTGTGTGTGCATGTGAGTGTACAGGTGTGTGTGAGTGTGTGAGGGTGCATGTGTGTGTACGTGAGTGTAAGTGTGTGTGTATGTGCGTGTATGAGTGTGTGTGAGTGTGTGAATGCGTGTTTGTGTATGCGTGCGTGCCCCACATATGTGCCTGGGTGTATGTATGTGCGTGTGCCAGTCGTGTGCACGGGTGCGTGTGCATGTGAGTGCAGGTGTGAGTGTGGGTGTGTCGTGCGTGCCCCGCCCCCTTACCTTTGGCCCTGTGGTCTTCCTCCTTGGGGCACTTGCCCCCTTCCCACCACTTGCGCTTGAGGATCTCCAGGCGGTTGTTCTCCTGCAGCTGGAGGATGGCCAGGTCGAACTCGTCCCTGAAGACGGAGCCTGGGGGGTCAGAGAGTCCGCGACACAGGTGAGTGCCCGCTGCGTGGCCCTCTGCCCCGTGCCCGAGCCCCTGGCTGGCTGCTGTTCCCTCTCCCTGCTCTGCAGGGCCTTCTGCTTCCACCTGGACTGGCACCTGCAGCCCGTGGCCACGTCCGGCTGGGACGACTGTGTGTCATCACCTCAGGCATGGCACTGCCACGGGGCTCTGATGCCAAGCTTCTGGCCCGCATCCAGGGGCCTCAAGCCTGTATCCACTCTCTAGACTCACCCCCACCCTGAGTCGCCCACAAGGGCCCCCGGGGGAGGAGAGCCCCACCCTGGGGGTCAGGTCAGTCTCCCATCTCCTTGGGGCATGGGGCAAGGGGGGTGCACTGAATCTCGCACACCCACAGCTGCCTGCCGAGTGCAAGGACCCTGGGGCCGCCTCCCCCCACCCTGCCGCTCCCCCTGTCTCACCCACACACGCCCTCACAGTTCTTCACAGAAAACAAAACCAAAACCTTTTTTCCCCTAATGGAAGAGTCTAGGGGCTTGGCTTCAGGAATTCATACCCGAAAATAGACCCGAATGGAACTGGATCTCTGTGTGCCAGCCCAGACTGGGGTAAGAGGTCACCAGGACAAAGGGGTCCAGGTCCCTGTGGAAGCCCAGGGAAGGCCCGAGGATGGCAGAGAGCCTAGGGGACGGCTGGGCTGCTCAGAACAAAAGGCCTCACAGGCAAAGCAGCATCCAGCCCCGGGCCCTGGCCCGTTCCCTCATCCTGTATGTTTGCTGCCAGACCAGAGTCCACAGACTGAGGCTGCCCCCCGTGGCAGAAACAGCTCTGCTTGCTCACATCAAGTGCAAGGCGCGAGAGTCCTGGCTGATGGAGGAGGCCAGCCTTTGGACACACCGGCCTCCAGTGGCCACTGGGAGGAGGTGGTGTCAGGTGGGGAGGCTGGCAAGTGTCCCAGCCCCCCACTCTTGGGTGGTCCTTGGCGATCTCTGCCCCCCACTCCTTGGCGGGAGGCTGCCCTACTCTCTCCACACCTGCCCCCTGCTCCTGGCCGTCACGTCCCTCGCTCTGTGCCTGACCCTCCCATGCCCAGCAGGCCTCCCCCCGCGCTTAAGGCCGGCACGAGCCCCTCTCTCCCGGGCAGACCTCAGTAGGGTCTACAGTCTGTCTCCTCGATGGACTGGCAAAGGGCCCTCACGGACAGGAGAAGCCGGGCATGCCCCAGGTCCAGCTTCTGGCCTTGGCGGACCTGCACTCAGGACCTGCCAGCCCCGGGCCAGTCCCTTGCTGTCCTGCGGGGGGTGTCAGGGTGACGGGGGAAAGGCGTGTTGGGACAGCCTGCCATGACTTCTGAGCCCTCCCCAGGCCGTGGCAGCAGTCAGGCATGACCGTCCCCCTCTGCAGGGCATGCTTGTCTGTAGGGACAACTTTCCGGAAGCCAGACATCTTCCAGCTCCACCAAGGAGATGATGGGGTGCTGGGGGTGGGGGGTGGGGGGGAACAAGTGACTCTGAGGCACCCAGGACACTCTGAGTCCCTGCACGAGCGAGTGTCGTGGCCTGTTCCCAGGGCCACCTAGCTGCATCAGCGCCCCATCTCGTCTCCACGGCTGACCAGGGCCACTGCCAGCAAAGCGAATGCCTTGGAACCCATGCCAGGCTCTCGTGCCTCCTTCCCGCGGGCGGGCAGACATGCCAATCAACAGCGAACTGGCCACAGGGCAGCCGGCGGGGGTAGGAGAAGCACAGGCCCACGGCGCCCAAGAGCATCACCCCGTGCTGGTGTCAGTGGGCACTGAAGGACAGACCCGCTGGCCGGGGAGCGGGAGCCCGCCCGGTGGGCGCCCACCTAGACCCCGCGGTGCTAGAGACAGGGGGCTGCCTTCGGCGGGTACAGCGAGCCGGCCCCCCCGAGGCTGCTCCTCTCCTGCATACCGACTGGCATGCCAATCCCATAGCCCTTGGTGTCCAGCAGGCCCCCAATCTGAGTGAGGTTGCAGTTGCGCTGCCGGTAGTACTCGTTCATGGTGGACTCCAGCAGGAAGGCGTAGTTGGAGTTCAGCACCCGGGCGATGCCCTCCTCCGTGCTCTTCACGAACACGCTCGGCTGCTTGGAGTACATGTAGTTCCACATGCGCTGATAGGTCTGGTAGCGGGAATTCTGCGGGGAACCGGGAAGACAGGCGGCGGGGTTGGTCCCGGGACGGTGGGCCCCGCGGCCACGTGACCCCCCTCCTTGCAGCCCCCTTTCTGCCCTCAGCTGCCTTTTCCGGAAGACCAAGGAGCCGCCAGCGGGCTCAGGCTCTGCGAACGCTCTGCTCTCTGCCCAGAGGGTTGGTCTTGCATCACGGGCACTCACAGCCGGCCTCTCAGAAGGGACATTCCAGCAGCAGTGTCCTCCACTCGTCCCTCAGGTCAGGGGCAGTGAGCTCAGTCGGCTCAAGACTTCTACAGAAACCCTCCCCTTCCCCACAACCCCCCCGTCACTCACACATTCGACACTGGCTGTGATCTGACAAACACGGACTAGACCGAGTGGCTGCTGGGGGCTCTGAGCCCCTGACTTGCTGACCTCACAGGCCCAGGCCAGCAGGCCCCAAGACGTGGGCAGCAGCAGACGTTCCACAGGGATCGCCTGGCGCAAGAGGTCTGAGCTTCTAACGTGCAACATGGCTGCTTGTCTGCCTGGCCTGGTGCTTGGTCCTGGGGACCGTTGACTCTGCGCCCACGCCGTCACAGCTGGAGCCTGACGGGGGACACTCTGGAAGGCTAGCGGAGGGGGGCCCCAGGGGCCCGGGGCGGTGCTGGCCCCTCGTCCCTGCCTGTGTCCTCACGCTGCCTTTGGGCATGCTGTTCTAATCTTGCTTTGCCCAAGGCAAGCACGGGAGAGGGGGATGGGGGGCGGAGAAGGGAGTGGCTGGTCTATGGACCATATAATGCACGGGAGGCCACTGGGTCTAAGACGGGACGGACACTGTGCTCCTTACTGGCTGCCCACGGTCCGTACGGCCCGAGAAAGATGCTCTAAGCATCCGAACAGAGAGAAGGTTCCCCAGCCCCGGCCTAACCATGCGTTTACAATTCGACCTGCCCTGAGAAGCCTAAACACACACACAAGCCTTCTCCCGTGCGCGGGTGCCGGTAAGAGCCGGTAGGGCCGAGGGTCACACAGCCCCGACACCCAACACCACGGGACAAGCATGAGACCACAGCAGCCCCGCGTGTCAACGCTCACTCGGGCGTGGCCCTGGGATGGCCGAGACTGACCCAAAGGCCTCTGTGGGCCCCTCGCAGGGTGCTGCAACCACATGGGCCCCCGTGGCCCTAGCAAAGGTGATATGGGGGCGCGGCGGGCGGTGGGGTCGACCACGCGGCTCCCCCCGCCCAGCCGGCCGCGGGCTTACTTGGAAGAAGGTCATGCTGGAGCCGCCGTGAATGGTGCCATACTCGATGGCCGTCTGGTCTGCCAGGTCGTCCACGGACTCGATGGGCACCTCCATGCGCTGCACGGTCAGGAAGGCGGCCAGGTTGGCCGTGTAGGAGGAGATGATGATCAGCGTGAACGCCCACCTGCGGGAGGAGGCCAGGACATTGCCGCCACTGCCGGGGGGGGTGGGGGGGTGGGGGGGGAGAGGGGACTGGGCCTGCATCCCCAGCCTGAGGTGGCCACTGGAGTAGAGACTGGGAGGCCCTCTCCCGATGGGGCACTCAGCGGGTGGGAGAGAGGCGGGCACAGGCCTGGGCAGCAATGAGTGGACCTCTGGGAGGGGGTCACGTGACAGTGACCTGTGCACGGCCCGGAGTGGGGGCGGGGGGCTTGTCCTGCGCTGGTGCTGGGCACCCTCCCCCCACCCCTGACCACAAGGCCAGGAGCCACACACACCACCAGGGGCTCCCTACAGTCCTTACTCCCACCCCTTTCACAGGTGGGGAAACTGAGGCCCAGAAAAGGCAAGTCACTTTCCACGGGCAAATCCAGCTCCTCAGAGCAGCTCCCTGAGGCTGGCAGGCGACACGCAGCCTCTGGCAGGGCCCGGAAGGCCGGGAAGGAGCCGCCCTGAGCGCCCACGGGTCACTTGGAAACAGAGGGCGGCTGCTGGTAGCTCAGTCAGGGAGACTCGCTCTGTGACTCCGGCAGGGGGTGCTGGAGGCACTGGAGGAGCCAAGTCAAGTCCTCTGCCAGCGCCGAGACTGGGGTAGGCGCAGCCCAGGGGGCTGGCGGCTGAGAGTGGACACCCGGTGCTGTCCCTGTCACCAAGCTCTCTGCAGTGCCAGCCAAACACCTGCCACAGGACGGAGTGGACAGGAGTGGACAGGCCCCACGTGAGCCGCCGGGGACAGCCCATGTGTCCCAGCTCACTGGCCCTCCGCGGGCTGTGAGCCTCAGAGACTCGGTAATAAGCCCTCGGGCCGAGCCGTGATTCCCTCAGCCATGGCCTTCTCTGCATCCCCACCTGGACAGGCCCTGGGGCCACCAGGACGCCTGCCCAGCATCCCGCCCTGCTGCCTCTCCTGCCTGCGCCCCCTCTGCCGACAGCCCCAGAGGAGCAGGAGGGCCCGAGTGATCCTGGGAAGTGGCTTCCGGGCTAATGAGCCCCAGGTGTGGACTTGACCTCAGAGCTGGCCGGGCACCTCCCTCGGGCCGCTCTGTTCCACCCGGGACGGCCACGTGGCTGCATGGGCCATGGAGGTCAGGGAGCGTGGGGTGCCAGGGGGGCGGGAAGGCAGAGCCCTTTCTGCTCTGCCTGCTCCCCTGGGAAGACCATGAACCCACAATGCCAGGGAGGCCTGGGAGTCTCATTATCCACCTGCAGTTCATCACGGGCTCGGCTGAAGTGGCCCCGGCCTCTGGCTGCCCAGGGACGCTGGCCCAAGGTGGCCTGGATCTAATGAGCAAGAACTCAGCAAGGCCCTGGGGTACACTGACACCCCAGGGTGGTGTCCTTGGTGGTGGGGAGGGCCCCCCGCCACACACACACACACACACACACACACACACACACACTGACACACATAGAGACACATGCAGACACACACACTGACACACACGCAGACACACACTGACACAGATACACAGAGACTCGCACACAGATACACACAGACACGCACACGCACAGAGACACACACACAGACACTCACACGCAGACACACACTGACACACAGACACACAGACAGAGAGACAGACACACAGACACAGAGACACAAAGACATACAGACACACACACAGAGGCTGGGAGCTGAGGAATCAGGCCACCTGGAGACCATTTTTCAGAGTGTGGTTGAGTCTGTGGGTGACAGTCCCAGCCCACTGCCCTGGTGGGGACCCCTGGGCCTGGGAGCTGACATGCAGGGGGAGCAGGCAATGAAATACACTGCACAGTGTGGAGGAGAAATGCGCCCCCACCCCAGGAGAGATCAAGCCCATAGCTGCCGACACCTGCCCTCAGGCTTTCCCAGAGACCTGTGATTAGCCCTCCCCACCAGGGTAGGGGAGGCCTGATTCCTCAAGCTCACCCACCTGGTCACCTTCTGGGTGCCCCGCTGACACAGGGTGTGTGCCCCACCGGGGACAACCCACTCCTAAGCACCATCACCCGTTAGGGAAATCCACCCCTGGCCAGGGAGTGCTGACTCCTGCTGGCCACAGCCCAGGGTGCCGCGTCCACCACTCCCTCCCGCACTCACCAGGCCCAGCAGGTGGGCAGCAACCCAGCCTCTCAAACCCAAACACGCAGGTCCAGCAAGGACGGGGAACGTGGGCCCTGCAGGCTCGCTCCCGACACCCTGGATGCAGTTCCATTGACGCATGAGCCTGAGTCTGCAGAACTGCCCCACCCGTGGGATCCACCTCCAGGGCCTCTGGGCCCCAGAGGGGCGGGAGAGAAGGGCCGTGCGTGTGGCCCAGGCTGGGCCTGCTGTCCACGAGCTCCCAAGGTCTCAGCCACAGAGCCGCGGTCCACACTGTCTGGCCCCGCCCGCTGCCCCCTGCAGTGCTGACCAAGCAGGTGCTGGGGAGGGGGCACAGCAGCTCTGCCCAGTTTGCATAAATCGTAGGCATAAATCTGCCCCGGCAGCTTCCTGGTGGTGAGGTGGGAGTTGGGAGTCGGGGATTGGGGGAGGGGGTTTGCATTACGTTCCTGCTTCTATACTCTAGAGGTGGAGAGGTGCCCCCTGCACCCCCACCCCCAACCGCCTGCTGGCAGGGCACCAACAGCCCTGCTGGTTCACACCCAGGGCAGGAAGCCCAGAGCAGGGCCAGTTTGACCCCTGCCATCCCCCTCCCCCGCGCCCAAGGGGTCCGGACCCCTCTTCCGCCCCGGGGGGCGCTTACCAGACGCCACTGACGCAGCGGGTGGACAGGGCCCGGGGCGCGATGGTGGAGCCCTGCTGCATGAAGCCCCCCACGGGAAACCAGAGGCTGTTGCCGAGCGAGTACTGGTTCACCAGGAGGTTGCAGCGGCCCTGGGCACACGGGTGGGGGCTGTACCACTCGTAGGGCGTCAGCCTGCAGGAAGACGGGGACGGCATGAAGGGACGGGCGCCCAGAGACCCCCGAACAGACCAGCTTTAGCCACTCCCACTCCCACCAATTATGACCCCGTTAAAAACACAAATCGGGGGTCACAGTGATAGTGCAGTGGGGGTGGCGTTTGCCTTGCATGCCCCTGTCCGGGGTTCACTCCCCCACACCCCATAGGGTCCCCGGAGCACTGCTGGGAGTGATTCCTGAGCCCAGAGCCAGGAGTCAACCCCCGAGCATCACCCAGTATGGCCCACACCTCCCCCTCAACCTCCATCCCCCCCCAAAAAAAAAACCTTCCACAAATTGTAGCGCGATAGTACCACATAAATCATGCCTTATTTTTTAAAAGGACAAGTAAAAAAATAATCCGTACGCACATTTTGCTGGGCCTCCCCCCGCCCCACTCCTGAGCTTCAGATTCAGGGAGTCTGGTGGGGGTTTGAGGTGTGGCTGGGCCTGTGGGCAGCCAGGGGGGACCACGCTGTGCTCTGGGGACCCCAGTGGTCTCATTGGCCCAAGTCTGTGGTCCCCAGCTGTCAAAGACTCCCCGGCCCAGGCCCCACTCCCAGAACAGATTCATCCCAGGCCAGGCCTGGGGTTCTGCACTCTGGAGGAGGCCCAGGGCTCCCAGTGGGCATCTGGGCTGTGAGTGCTGATCTTAGGTGTGGGGGACCCTGCAGGCCTATCCTACTCGGCCTCTCCCTGGGCAGCACTCCTGACGATGCCTGGACCATCCAGCCAGGCCCAGGGGGCAATGCTCGGGAGGCCAGTCTGGGAAAGGAGGGGCCGAGGGCCCTGGACTCCAGCTGCCCAGCGTCCACTCAGCCCTCACTCCCTGTAAGTCCCTGCCACCCCCAGAAGTGGCCAGATCCCCGCAGCCCTGCTCACGGGGCTCAGGTTTGTACGTGCACTCAGGGCAGCTGGACCCTCGGTGCGGCTTTGGGGCCGTCCTGTTAATACTGCATGGGGAGGCCAGGGTGGGTGCAGGGCAGGGCAAAGGGTCCCTTCAACCTCAGGGGGTTGGGGTGCTGCCAAGTGTGGGGCCCAGTAGGGGCACGGCAGGGTCCAGCCCGTGAGCCGTTCTCGGGCCTCTATAGAGCTGCCCGCCTGCCAGTGGCCTGCCAGTGGCCTGCCAGGTCCCGGGCGTCCCTCCAGAGGGGGCCCGAGCGCCCACGCGGAGGCTGCCTAAACGCTGGCAGACAGTGCCGAGGTACAGGGGGAGGTGGCAGACGGTGCCGGGCTCGTCGCCGACAACAGTTCCTGGGTAGTTCCTGGGAGATGCCTGTGAGCTCAGCAGGCGGGTGGGGACAGGTGGCAGCGGAGGGGCAGGAGGGCAGCACACAGCAGCCTCTGCCCACGGCCCAGGCAGGAGTGAGGCCTCGCCCCACGCCAGCCTCGACCTCAGCCAGACTCTACCCTGCAGACACAGACGCCCCCATGGGTCTCCAGAGAGAAGGCGAGACTGGCAGAGCCCGGGGTTCAGTCCCCTCACCCCAAGCTGACTCCTCTTCCGCCCTGCCCGGGGCTACTGCACAGAGAAGCTCCCCCGGCCGAGCTGGACTGGACCCCAGAGGACCACTGGGCGCTGCCGTGCAGACCCAGAACTCTCAATCTGGACGGCCCGTGTGATTCTGGGCCCTGTGGAGGCCGAGCTGGGTTCCGAGGGCCACAGGGATCAGTGGCGCCCCCAGTGGCGCGTCAAGTGGGCTCGCCCTCTTCCTTGGGGGCGAGGGGCTGCCCCGGGCAGCAAGGGGGCCTGTTCTCCTGGACCCCCACTCTGAACCGCTGGTCTCCGCACGACATGCAAACCCACCTCCTCCCTCGGGGGCACACACCCATGGGGGCAGCTGTGTCTGCAGGGCAGAGTAGGGCTGGGGGCGCCAGGCCCTCACGCAGCAGCCCGTCCCCCCGCCCCACTCCTGTGCCATCCAGGGCTCCGTGGCTGCTGTTTTCTTGTCACTCAGCACTTTGCAGCGGATCCTGGCAGAGCCAGGCACCGGGGCGGCCAAAGGACAGCGCTGCCTCTGAGGACCCTCACGGAGACTGGACGGAGTGCGGGGGATGGGTGGAGAGCAGCGGGCCCTGGGCCGTTCCTTCCTCGGGCACCCAAGGAGGGAGCAGGAGCAGGGACTGGTGGACGGGCAGAGCCAGGCCCACAGCTGGCCAGAGGGCGGCAGGTCCCTTGTCCCCACCCCCTCCCCGCAGTTCCCGGAGGCGGGCACCAGGTGGCGGTGTCGGGACGGGCAGGCGCCTACCGAGCCACCAGGAAGAGGACGCAGCTGACGGCCAGGTAGGCGAGGAGCATGAAGAGCCAGACGCCCGGGGAGAACGGGTCCAGGAAGGAGAAGTAGCCGGGCCTGCGTCCCTGGAGACGGAGAGAGAACAAGGTTCACACACAGCCAGGGCGTGGGGGTGCGGGTGGGACCAGGCCCCGGGTCCAGGGTGGGGACAGCTGGAAGTGGAGGCCCCCCTGGGCTGGGCAGGCCGCTGTCCCCGTCCGTGGGCAGGCCTGTGGCTCTGAGGGTCCTAGGGAGCGCGGGGGCCAGGCAGCCTTTGTCACCTGCAGGACTGAGCACATGGGGGGATTCCAAGGATGCTCTGGACACACTTGGGTGGCGTCAGAGGGCGCTTTCTGGGTGAGCCCAGGATGGCACCAGCAGGCGCAGGTCAACTCATTTGCTGGTGAAGAAACCCACGCTCAGGTGCCTGGGAGACAAGCCCAGGGGACTGGCACAGCTGGTGAGCCGGGCTTCGAGGCCGCCTTTCTCCAGGGATACGGAGTCAAGTGCCCAACTAGAATCCCGGGCCCACGTGCCACACCTGCACCCCGGAGACCCTGGCCCACTTGCCTTGCGGTCTCAGGACACTCGGGGGCGTTATAGGGACCTCCGACAGGAGGCTGGAAGACAATGGGGGTGGCGAGAGACCGTGGGGGGGGGGGGCGGGGAATTCTGACTGGAGGGAGGCCTCAGGCAGCAGACTCCGAGTCCCCTAGCCAACATTCTGCTCCTGCCACAGGCCACCCCACTCCCGCAGCGCCGTCCACAGACACAGACGCCGCAGGGCGTAAAGGCGTGAACCACACCCGCCGGACCTCATGTGCACCCACTCGGGGCGCCCTCCTGGACCCCGATCTCTCAGCAGCTGCTACATCCTGACCCTCAGGGAGGGCAGAGAGAAAATCAAGACTTTCCTTATTGCTCCCCGAAAGCCCCTCAGAGGCCCCACGTGACCTGGGCCCCCGCGTAGCGCGGAGGGAAGCAGCAGCACCCTTGGGGGCGGCGGGGTTTGGTTCTGGGTGTGAGGAAGGAGGCGTGGCCGTGGGGAGACGCCCGGCAGCACAGACCCAGCACACACACCGGCTCCGTGGGAACCCGCCGGGCACGGGGCCAGGGCGGCGGCACTGGGTTCTGCCCGTGACTGGCTGGCGCCACCCGGAGTGGGGACGACGAGGCAGTCGCCTGAGGCTGGGATCCGGGCTCAGGCAGCGCCTGGCACTCCCAGGATGCCACAGACGCGCGGGGCTTGCCAGGCGGGCTCTGCATCAGCGCGGTGCTGTTTTCCCGTGCTCAGACAGCCCCTCTCCCAGGGACAGCGAGCTCCGAGTCACGCCAGCCAGCGGCGGCGTTTTCTTCCGAATAGCTGATCTCCCTTAACCCGAGGGCTGGGCTTCTCTCCCCAGGGCGCCGCTCGACTGCTTTCAACAGGCAGCTCCCCTGCGGACAGAGGGCAGGAGAGAGGGGAGAGGCACTTGCTCTCTGTCCAAGGGGAGGGCTGGGGGGGGCATCGGCTCTCTGTGCTCCTTCCTCGTGCCGGCAGGACGGCAGGCAGCTGTGCCGAGGCGCCTCTGCGTTTCATCTGCACAACCTGCTCCGATCATCTCGCTAATTGATCCCACGCCTTCTCCCTCAAGCCAGCAGCAGCCCGGCCCACTGCCTCGCCCCCTTATGGCACTCCGAAACTTCTAATATTTATGACCCGTCTTTGCGTAAGCCGACTGTTGGATTTATGGGCGTCTGCGCTGATTTATGCACGTCTCGCTGAGGGCCAGGTGGGCCGGCTCACTCTGGGGAAAGCCACTCCGAAGGGGGCTAATCGCTTGCAAATAGTCCTTGTCCCACACGCCTAGAATAGGTCAAGCCCTGCGATGCATTTGAAAATCAGGGAGTTGGAATTAGTTCTGTTGCATGGTTTGTTTGTAAGTCACACCCGGAGCCTCTTGGGGGGTCACTCCTGGCTCTATGCTTAGAACTCCTCCTGGCAGGGCTCAGGGAACCTATGGGGTGCTGTGGACAGAACCCGGATTGACCAGGTGCAGGGCACACACCCCCTGCCTGCTGTCCGTTCGCTCCAGCCCCTAGTTCTGCTGTTCTTGGCCGATGATACTCCAGAGTGGACGCCCCCGGAGCCCGCGTCCTTGATGCTGACCGATGCTGGGGGGAACCGCAGGGCTCCCAGCCAGCTGCCCACGACCTTGGCAGTTGCCCAGGAGATATGGACTCTCTCTGCGTGTCCAGATTCCTCCTGCCCTTAATGAACCCCCCTGCTAATTCACCGATGCTTCATCCTGTGCATGCTGGGAGCAGCGACAGTGTAGTGGAACATCCCCGTTTTCCTGGCGGCTGGCGCCGAGGCATGGGGACGCCCGAGCCAGGCTACGCAGGACCCAGAGGGGGTGAAAAGGGCCTGGAGGAGGCCCCTCCCTGCACCCGGCAAAGCCACTCTCTGCATCGATCGGCAAGTGGGAATAAAAGCAAGTACCAGACCCCACTGCAGTCGGGGTCTGTGACGCGCTGTCTAGCCCAGAGCAGTGCCCTGCACCCCTCAAGGAGGGGGCTGCGGGAGATGGTTCTCAGGACCCCTAGGTCCCCCGGAAGGCCATTCCCCGAGGCGGGGTGTCTGTGGTGGGTGGTCTGGGGTAAGAATGGGTTGGACTGTACTTCCCACCTCTGCCTCCAGGGGGCAGAGGAGAAGGAGGCGGATGGGGGAGGGAGTGCTGGGGGAGGAGGCCGTAATGGGGGGAGCCAGGGCAGTGCCGGAGACAGTACTGGGGGGCAGTGCTGGCAGGAGGCGTTTCTGGTCTCCCATGAAGCCCCTCGCTAGGTCTGGCTCTGCTTTCTGGCTGAGGCCCCCAGATGCGGGTGGGTCTAGTCCCCACTGGGGCTGGACAATCCAGCCTGAGGACACCTCAGTGCTGAGCCTGGCACTGCCACTGAGTGGCCAAGTGACCCAGGGCGGCACACCCATGCTCCCTAAGGGGAACACAGGGCACGAGGTGGAGATGGGAGGATGACAGAGATGCCTCAGATACCTCGGTCTATCAGCCCCTCTTCCGAAAAGCCCCCCCAGCCCGGTCCTGGAAGCACGCTCACGCTTTCCTGTCTGCTCTCCTTCCTGTGTTTACCTGTGATTCCCGTGAGGGCCGGGGACCCCAGGCACCCCCACCTCCACCGAGCAGCGCCGCAGCCCCAGACCACGTTCCTCAAGCAAACACACAGACCATCCCCACCACGGTTCCAGCATCCCCCAGGGGAGAAGTCATCACCCCTTTCGGAAGACCCTGTGCCAGAGCAAAGCTGGTGAGAGAACGGGGGCTTCCAAGGACACAGGACGCGAGAAGCGGCAGAACGGAAATGTCACACCCCGAGAGCCCCAATTCCCCCAGCTGGGGAGGACGGCTCAGCCCTCATCTCCGTGGCCTTACAGTGGAGTATTAACCGTATCAGAAATGATTTATAGGTTTCATCCCAATTGTCCTCCGTGTTCCTAGACAGTCTTTCTGAAAGGAGACAGACCTTCTTGAAAAAAAAAAAAAACACGAGTAAATAAATTCACCAGAAATGCTGCATGCTAATTTCCCGTTGGCACCAATCTCTCGCTCCTTTCTTAATCACTCTCACTGTAAAAATAAAAAGTGCTGCTTGAGAGAGATCACGATCACGATCACGACCATCCTGTTGTTCGTCGATTGCCTCGAGCAGGCCCCAGTAAAGTTTCCTTTGTCCTAGCCCTGAGATTTTTTAAAAAGTGCCATATTCAAGGCTCTTTCAGGGTTAGGAGAATGAGACCCATCACTGTTACTGGTGTTTGGCATATTGGGTACACCACGGGGAGTTTGCCAGACTCTGCCATGTGGGCAGGTTACATTCGGTGACCTGCCAGTTTGTCCAAAGTAGGAATGAGATAAGATGTCGTGTGGCCATGAATGCGACCGTGTACTTCCGGGAGCTGGGTTTTATAGTCTCTGAGTCTTGGCCATTGATGGGATTACACGGCGCCAGGGGGGCCATTTGGTGGGTGTGACCCCTTCCCACTGGAATTTGGAGGATCTGGGTGGAGGATGCTCAGCCCCGTTCCGAGCAGGCTTGGAGATCTCAGCCCTAGGACCCGCATGCCTTTGTTCCTCTGCTGGTACCTTCATGCGTGTGGAGAGTGGTCTCAGCATGGTGGTGGCTGGTTCTGGAGGTCTTTGGCTGCCGGAGCCCTGGTCGGGGTGGGGAGGGAAACTCAACCCGCTCCCCTCCAAGGGGCCCGGCCAGGACAGCCAGGCATGGGGGCAGGAGGCTTGAGAGAGATGATGTTTGTAAAGTTTCAGAGGTCAAAAAAGAAAAACAAACCACCAAGATAAAACTTCACTGTTGGTGGGTCTGGGTGATGTGGGGCCAGCCAGACCCAGGCAGGAGATAGGCATTTCCCAGGGCATCTGAGAGAGCTGGGAACAGCTGGGGCCCCTCTGCGGGTGGTAGAGAGTAACCAATGCTTAGAAAGAACCTAGGGCCTCTGGACACAGTGAAATCCCCTCAGTCAGCAGGGCGAGGAGCGCTGATGTCGGCCGGAGGCCCTGGCCATTACTGCTCCTCTCCCTGCCTCAGCCCAAGCTCAACCAGGAGCCTCAGAGTCCTCCTGTGTGAATCCAGCACCGCCGTCCCTGCCCTCGGGAGTTCAGTGACAGTGTGGACATACGAAGAGACTGGGCAGGTGTGGGCCGACCTACGAGTGTCCTGGACACGGGCCCCACCTCCTTCAACATGCCATGAGGAACTTCTCCAGCACCATCATCCATGGGGGCGACAATGCCATATGTGAAATCCCGGGTCAGCCGTGGCACCGGCCACGAAGGCTGCGACACTGTCAGTGTGTGCTGGCAGAACCCAGACGTGGTCGAGTGCGAGTTGGCCGGAAGCCCCATCAGGCAAACCGTGGGCACGAGGATAGAGAAGCAGGCAGGCCACAGGCTCCCTGCTGTGCTCTCGCCCCTTGGCTCCCCAACGCTGGGTGCTCACGTCGGCTTCGTGAAGGACCAAAAGCCCCGCATGGCCCCGCCAGCCTGTCCCGTGGCTCTGCTTCCCCAGACCACGCACCCCG